AGGATTAACAAGTGAGCCACGGCGCTGGCCCCGATTGATGCTCTTTAACGTCTGTCAATTACAGTCTCTCCTGATACAATGAAGGCCCATGGTTTTTTTTCTACTGCTGCACATTTTGTTAAAGTTCAGCTGTTCCATGAGTCTAAGCAGTGCCATGGGTGCTACTGGAAAATCTTATGTTTAGGGAGTAAAGATTCTAACATAGACTCAGAAAATGGGAGGGAGGTGTAAAGAGAAAGTAGATGAAACAGAGGTGGGAATCTGGTCCATGGATCAAAATACTCTGAGGCAAAAATAACAGAAACTCTGCTCAAATCAACTTGAGTGAAACAAGGAAAATTATTTTGCTTGCATAATTGAAGAATTCACTTTTATTGGCCCATTTTTGGTTGCTATAACATTTTGGTTGTTGTACCCAACAGCTAGGCACTTTATAAAGAAAAGAGATTTATTTAGCTCATAGTTTTGGAGGCTGGAAGACCAACATTGTGTGACTTCATGTGTTCGACCCCCAGTGAGGAGGGCCTTTGGCTTGTCACAACAGGGCAGGGAAGTGGCAAGGGAAGCCCCACATGTGGAAGACACGCCTTGGCCAGGAAATGGAGATCAGAGAGGAGCTAGTCATGCTATTTTTTTGATAACAACAGACTATGGAGGGAGCTTACCAGGGCCCTGTGAGAACCACATCAGCATTCCTAAGGGCAGTGCCTCTGGTTACCTACTTACCATACTCTAGGCTATAGCTTTCAAGGATCCACCACCTGCCAACATTTCCTCACTGGGTACCAAGCTTCTAGCACCTGAACTCTTGAGGGCTGAGCCACATCCAAGCCGTTTATTTATTTAACAGCATTTATTATCAACGCTTTTGAATGATTATTATATACAGAAATGATTCTAAAACCTTTGCATCCAGTAACTGATTTATGTCTTATAATATTTTTCCATAATGACTTTTGAAGATAGTTTATAGGCATGAAGTTCTTCTCTGGGAGGCTCAAAGAGAAGAAAAATATTTTCCAGGCCCTGTTTTAGACGTTTGATATACATTAGTGAACAAAAAAGACCATGATCCCTGCTCTTGTTGGAGTTTATGGCAGAAACTGATGACAAACAACAACCATATTCAAAATTAAATTGCTGACAATCTTAAAAGGTGGTGATGGTATGGAAAAGAGAAAGACAAGATTGTAGTAAGGGGGACTGGTGGTGCAAGGTGGGGGCCAGGTCTTATTAAATAGGATTATTGGGATAAGGCCTTATTAAGCAAGGGACATTTGCAAAAAGACTGGAAGGAAGTGAAGGTACATTAGGTCTACGCAAAATGAAAATAGGTTCTCAAATTCATTATCACTGAGACATTGTCTTTCTCTCTCATTGTCTGAGCTCTACTTCTTCTATGATGGCTTCATTCACAGGCAGTTTCTCCTGTGGGGACTCAAATGTTCTTAGTAATCCAAGGATTATGTTCTACTAGTTTAGCAATTCTGATAGAGACATAGAGCCACTGTCCCAATAATTCCAGTAAATTTTACAAGTTTAAGTCTCAATGGCTGACTTGGATCACGTGACCACCCCATCATCCTATTACCAATTGCAGTGACCAGAATTGAGAAGGCTATTTTTATTTTTTATATTTATTTATATCTTTGCGGGGGGACTAGCTTTGGCTTCATGTATCTGAAGTTCGAGGTAGGAGAGAGGTAGACAACCAGAGGGACTGAAGTTAGAGGATAAGTGGTCCCTGAAGAATAACAAGGTTGCCAGAAGAAAGAGGAATACATACTGAGTTGACAAAACAGAAGAGAAACCCCAAGGATTTTCATCAGGGCTCTGTGGGAAAAGGCAGCAACAGTACTCCAGTCGCCTCAGGTACTCCTTGTGCTGGTGGTCTCCATGTGAGTGGGTTATTGCTTCTGGGTTACATTCCCTCCATAGCAGTTCAAGCAAAGCTATTTGCAACTCACATTAACTTGCAAGTATCCCAGGGTAATGCCTCTTTGAAAAAATTTCCCTTTGCTGATAGTTTTTGCACTGGGACAAGTTGAGCAAGAGTGACTATTCCTCTTATCCAAAGTACTTTTTCGGTATCAGAGGCAGTTAGCTTCACGTGATTTGAAGGAACCTTACTCATTTGCTTTTATTTTACTTTCACTCTTGAGTTTCCTGAGTCCACGTAGTGCGTTGACTGTTGACACCTCTCCAACAGCCACTCTCCATCTCTGTTTAAGGTCTGAGATGGGAATCTGAAGATGGGGTTATTGCCTCTGCATACTTTTGGCTCATTTTCCCCTTAATTATGTCGGAAGCTTGATTTATATCCCAGTGGAGGAAAAAAAGAGACATTAGTTTTATCTAAAATTTCAAGATTTATGAACTTAAAAAGGAAGGCTAAGCAAACCAACGCAGAAAATGAGTTTGAAGAAAGTGGCTTTATGGCTTAAGAGTAAATGTTGCCGCTGTGGCTTCTATGTGAGACTCTAAGACCAGCAATGTTTGATTGTGCCATACTCCGTACTTGTGGAAGGAGACACTGAATCAATATTCAGCCATGCACAGGGTAGCCTACACACTCACATGGAGAAGAATTCCCATCATAAGCATCAACAATGCCAGGTGAAAAGTCTCCTTAAATTGAGTATGATTTGGCAAAGCTGGCCCTGTGCTTTGAGTTGACTTTTTGCAAGATGTATATATCTTTTTAAAAGCATCTTACAGATTTCCCTTTCATTTAAAGACCTATCATTTAAGCTTTCAGCATTTTCAGTTCATTAACAAATATTTTTTGGAGTTGGCATGGTGGCGTAGCAGGTAAAGCCACCACCTGCAACACTGGCATCCCATGTAGGTGCCAGGTTGTGTACTGGCTGCTCCACTTTTGATCCAGCTCCCGCTGATAGCCTGAGAAAAGCAGCAGAAGATGGCCCAAGTGCTTGAGCCTCTGCATTCCATGTGGGAAGCTCTTGGCTCCTGGTTTTGGCTTGACCCAGCCCTGGCTCTTGCTGCCATCTGGGAAGTGAACCAGCAGATGGGAGATCTCTGTCTCTCCTTCTCTCTCTGTAACTCTTTCAAATGAATAAATAAATCTTTTTAAAAATATATTTTTAAAGGTACCTTTGCAAAATTCTACAATGAAGAGTTCTGAAAAGGTCATTAGTGTTTAGAATGGTGTCTATATACCGTTATTGTTCAAAAAGAGTTAGTGATGATGTCACTGTTAATATCAGCACAATTCTACGAGAGCTAAGTGGTTGAGAGGAGATATTCCTGGCCCAGTGTTCTCTTGCAAGGCTATTAGAAGGAGAGAGCAAGTTGGTATTTGGAATTTTCCTGTCTTCCAATGAATGAATGTGTTACAATGTCTTTTCTGTACCCACAAAAGACACAAAGACCCTAAACTCTGCCCTTGAGATTTCCTTGGCTGCACAGTCACAAGACAGAGATTCCTGGAGATCTAACTATTTGCCATTTAAACCTATGAGTCCCAAAGATAATGCCCTCCATCCTTTCAAGGAACCCAAAGCAGATAGGATTTGTTATCCACCCTGCACCCTAATACCAAGAAGACAAACTAAAGCAGAGATGGTGCTGCCATTATAGCGTGAGTGACATGGTTGACATGCAAAGCGCAATTTCACAAAATAGATCAGCCTTTTATTTAAAGGCCATGCGACTTCTAAGGTGATCCATTTGCACAGCAACCCCTACCCCTGCCCCACACCCTGGGTATGATTTATGTATGGCTGAAACACACCAGCTAATTCTCTTGAGCCTGACTTTCTCTCTAGTGTGCCATTTGAGGATGGTTTATGGGCACAGAGCTCATCTCTGGAATGCTGAAAGAGCTAAATATTTGCCCAATGGGCACTACACCAAAGTAGGACCCAGCCTTTTCACTTTGATGGTTGATTCAAGGTAGGATTTTATAAATCTATCTGCCATATGCTTAACCATCGAGACAGACTTCTTGGCTTCAGGAAGGCAAGTTAATCCACAAATTCCCTTTACCTAATCGGAATTAATTTTCCATTCCCACCACAGATTCCTAATTCCAAGGCTAATCCTTTCATGTTACTCCTCTAAGTTATCTATGCTAGAAAAGGTTCAAAGAGCTTCAGATAAAATTAAATTCGAAATAAAAGATTATCTCAACTGAATTGGCAGAGGTCCATTTTTCTCAGCAGCTGGTGCTGTATCTTCATATGTGGAGAAAAGTATTCTGTAGAAATGTCCGTCCTACAAATCTGAGGGCAGGGCATATGGTAGATTTAACCAATCAGGGATATTTTTCATGCCATCTCAAAGTAACTCACAGATGCCTGACAGCTGCAGCTGTCTGGGCCCCTTGCGATGGCATTGCTCTATGACTCAGAGAACTGTTTATGCCAGAGAATGCTGCCACTGCAATCCTACCCCAGAGATGCCCCAGGAGAAAAGTATTTAGAGCAATGAGTGGGAAAGGAAGGTCCCTGGGCAGATTTAGTCAAACCCAGACACACATGTAAGTGTAATCAATAGGATGTGGAGAAGGGGAAAACGTGTGGATTTTGCCATCAGACCCACTCTAAGCTTAGACAACTCTAAGCTCTGGCTGCTTTCTGCTCAGTCAGTCATTTATCTTTTCATCCAATAATTATGGTGGATATACCGTGTGCCTAAGACTGTGCTATGTACTAGGGATATAATGATAAGCAAGACCAGCTACCTCATTTGTGGGACCAGAGCAAAAGGAAAATGCAGGGCCATTTGTATGAAAATTAAGGATTTCCAGACTGTGAGAACAGAGCATTAAACCAAGCGAGTGGCCCTTTTGAGTGTAGGGCCCTGGGTAACTGCTCTCCACGTCCATGCACCCAACCCTACTGACAATCCTTGGGTGAGAAGAGACTTCATCCTCATGGAGCTAGATTTCTTGGGAGAATTCCATTAATCACATTAATTAAGCTAAAATTATGACTACAATAGGGCTGTGAGGGGGAAGGAGCAAGCACTATGAATACCTGTGAGAAGATGGTTTGATTAGTGAAGATCAGGAAAGGCTTCTCTGAGCAGTCGAAGCATAGGATGAGATTTGAAGGATGAGCAGGAGTTGATTGGCAACGAGGAGGTGATCTTTGAGGAACTCCATCATTTCAAAGCCCAGGGACAGGGATGAGCCTGCAAGGGAGAAACAGGAGAAAATGTTCACACAGGAGGAAAACCACAAGAGAGTTAGGTCACAGCATCCAAAGGAGGTGACAGCTCAAAAAGCATAGAAGATCCATTCGGTTGACCCTGGCAAGTGGTCTCCTATGTCCACACAGAAATATTTCCCCAAAGGTTTAGTGGGACTCCTGGCACACAGGTCACATATGCTCTTTCATCATATTTGTTTCTACCTGAAAAATGGCTCATCCTTCCCCACCACGTGATCCAATTCTCAATCTTGGTGCCTACTTCAGAGAGGGAATTCCATTGAGGCACACAGAAGTCGAGTTGAATGGACTCCTTCTAGGAGTGAAATGATCTTCAAGGGACTGACCTGTGAACACCGTTCCTCCTCCCCACTTCCTGCACTATCTTTCTGCTCTCATCCACGGCACATCCTCCAGCCTTTTCTTTCAGTTCTAGCAAGTAACACAGTTTTTCCCGCCCTTAAATCACCTTAATTCACCCTCTCTAACCAAAGTAGATGCTCTGTATTTCTCTTTTATCTCATCATAAAGATATGTAAGTAAATAGTAAATATCCAATGTCATTAGTATAGTTAGGCACCTACTTAATAATGAAGGCGCCTCATTTTACTCCCACAAGGCTAGTGCTGTGTCTGTGCTCCTGCTGTGTGTCAGTCACCAGACAAATTAAGTTACTAAATTAATGAACATGGAGACATGTTGCCCACAAAGCTTAAGAAGCCTGACCACTTTCCAGGCAGTCTTGACTCAGAAAGAAGGTGTTTGTGAAGATGACTTAAGCCGCCATTTGCAATAATTTCTGTAGATGCCTCTCAAATCCATAGATGTCTCATCACCATAACAACACACATAGCGACAGGAGGGTTTTCTGAAGCTTTGATACCATCTCTTCATCAATATAATGTGGGGTGTGTGTGTGTATGTGCGCGTGTGCACATGTGCACGGAGCGGGGGGTAAGGAATCCTTACAATTCATCAAACAAAACATGGTGTCAGGATCAACGCTGTGCTCCTAGATCTGTGATTTAAACTGGACACATGAGTGTCACTGGATCCCTGACGAGAGATGGGGATGGACTAGAACTTGGAGAGGGAATGTAAACACCAGGGATTCATCATGAAAACTGTGGCTGTTAAAGTGCTCAGCTTAGAGAAATTCATGTCAGATTCCTAACAAGGAATTGGAAAAGGAGCAGATTCTGGATTTTTCTGCCCCCTCAGTTCAGGTCAATACTGTTTGAACATTAAGCTTCTTTATGATTAATGTTGATGCTCTTCAACAAATATAGAAGTGGAGAAAATGGGTGTCTCCATTGGTGTTCAGAAGTTCACAAAGGACCAGGATAAACACAGGTGCTCAGAAGTTCACAAAGGACCAGGATAAACACAGGTGCTCAGTGGTATCCTCAAGGAAGAGCTGAGAAGGAGTGGGGAGTGAGACTGGAAAGGCAAATGAGCCATAAAGGGTATGTTCCCAGAGACAATCGTATTGGGGAAATCTGGGAAACCATATAAAACACACCTAAAAATTATCTCCCTCCCTTGGAGAGGAGGAAGACAAGGCATTCATTTCCCCTCGGCCTTCCACCTGCCCTCTCAAGGATTAAGGAAAGGCTGTTAGGTGCAGGGTCCCTAAAGCTCTGGAGGCACACCCTGGATTGGTCAGGACACAGGGAACATGGGTGGGGCACACACTGGGCCTGCTATAGAGCAAGAGAAAAACAGAGCACAGGACAAGAAGAGAAGATAGGGGCAAGTGCGCTCTCTCCCTCCTTTCTCTCTCTCTCTCTCTCTCTCTCTGTGTGTGTGTGTGTGTGTAGAGTGATGTGATCATCTATTAACTAAAAATTTAAATAATAAATGGAAACACATCACAGTCAACTCCCCTTATCCATCTCTTTTCTCCTGACATAAATACTCTTATATTTACAAATTTAGGAAAACTGCTGTTTCTCTTACACAGATTTCCAAATAAACACATTATAAAGCATTTATAAATACAAGTGGATTTATAGGAGAGAAAAAAATCCTTAAAAAAACTAGTAGACATAAAAAACAAAGGAAAAGATTTTCAGTGTCATTGGTAATCAGGGGAATACATACCAAAATAATTAGATCCTATTTGGGGGAAAATATCTGGGGAAATACTGAAAAAGTTAGTAACATAAATGCTGACAAGGATATGGGGAAATCACATTACCCTACAATGCTTTTAGGAATTTGAACTACCATGAGAAAGGAATGTACCTGTATGTTTTCTTTCCAAAGTCTCTCTTGAATAAATAAACGTACAAGGATATTTAACAGAGCATTATTTGGAGAAAAAATACTCAAAGAAACCTTAATGTACTTGTACTATTAAAATAATGAACTGGTGTTCCATATATTGTCATTGAACAATAGTAATGATATAGTGAGGGAAATAAACAAGTTATACTCTAATGTGCATAGTCCAATCTGCTTGAATTCTTTTTAAAAGGAAAAGGAAAAACCTTACAAATATACAAACTTGTTTGTATGAAATTGAGAAAGGTGTGGAAGGAAGGATACACTTGAGCTGTTCTTTTTTGGGGGTTGGGATTTGTTTATCTGAAAGGCAGAGTTACAGAAAGAGAGAGGGAAGAAGAGACAGAGAGGGAGAGAGAGAGAGAGATCTTCCCTCCACTGTGTCACTCCCCAAATGGCCAAAACAACCAGGGCTGGGCCAGGTTGAAGCCAGGATCCAGGAACTCCATCTGGGTCTCCTAGGTGGTGGCAGGGACCCAAGTACTTGGGCCATTTCCTGTTGCTTTCCCAGGCGCATTACCAGGGAGCTAGATTGGAAGTAGAATAGCTGGGACTGGAGCCAGTGCTCTGATGGGATGCCAGCATTGTATGCGGCAGCTTACCCCCAGCAGCACAACGCTGGCCCCCACTTTAATTGTTACCATGAGTTACCTTGAAGTTGGAGGAAGGGTGCATGGTGAAATTTTTTTTTTTTTTTTGACAGGCAGAGTGGACAGTGAGAGAGAGAGACAGAGAGAAAGGTCTTCCTTTTGCCGTTGGTTCACCCTCCAATGGCCGCCGCGGCCGGCGCGCTGCGGCTGGCGCACCGCGCTGATCCGATGGCAGGAGCTAGGAGCCAGGTGCTTTTCCTGGTCTCCCATGGGGTGCAGGACCCAAGCACCTGGGCCATCCTCCACTGCACTCCCTGGCCACAGCAGAGGGCTGGCCTGGAAGAGGGGCAACCGGGGCAGAATCCGGCGCCCCGACCGGGACTAGAACCCGGTGTGCCGGCGCCGCAGGCGGAGGATTAGCCTAGTGAGCCGCGGCGCCGGCCTACATGGTGAAATTTGTAATAGAGGAGGTACTACAGACAAGAACTTCACTTTTTCATTGTACTATCTGACTTGTGGCAAAATGCAGGTATTTTAAGATTTGAAAATCATATCTGTATGACTATTATTACTTTAAAATTTATAGGATGAATTATTGAATGGATATGTGAAGAATTCTATAAGATACTGTTAAGTAATACAAGTGCTTGATCTTAATTATGTAAATTATTTATACAATATTTAAATTAAAAAGATCATAAAATTTTGTAACTACTAGTAGCTGGTGTTTTAATTATTTGCCTCTTTAATTTTATCAATATTTTGCTCCAAAATTTTCCAACTGTAGCTAACCATTAAAAAGAATGAACTTTTAGCCAGCGCCGCGGCTCACTAGGCTAATCTTCCACCTGCGGCGCCGGTACTCTGGGTTCTAGTCCCAGTTGGGGCACCAGTTCTGTCCCGGTTGCTCCTCTTCCAGTCCAGCCTCTGCTGTGGCCCAGGAAGGCAGTGGAGGATGGCCCAGGTCCTTGGGCCCTACACCTGCATGGGAGACCAGGAGGAAGCGCCTGGCTCCTGGCTTCAGATTGGCGCAGCGCGCCAGCTGTAGCAGCCATTTGGGGGATGAACCAACGGAAGGAAGACCTTTCTCTCTGTCTCTCTCTCTCACTGTCTAACTCTGCCTGTCAAAAAAAAAAAAAAAGGATGAACTTTTGTCATTCAGAAGATCTGGAGGTCATTATGTTAAGTGAAATAAGCCAAGCATGGAAAGACAAGTGCCACATGATTTCACTCATGTGTGGAGTCTAAAAAAAGGTGACTATGTAGAAATTAAAAATACAGTGGTGGTTATCTGAGGCTGGGGAGGTGGTGGGGGGAGGGGAGGGAAGGATAGGTTAAGGTTGATAGAGTACTAAGTTATAGCTAGATAGGAGTAGGAAGTTCTAGGAATCTGTTGCACAATAGGTAGACTGCAGATAATGTCCATGTACTCTGTATTTCTCTGTTAAAAAAAATAGGATTTTGAATATTATCACCATTCTCCAAGAGACAGATATAGTTACCCTGACAGGACATTACACAATGTATACATGCATCAGAACATCACATGATATCCTATAAATATGCACAATTTTTAGGTATCTGTTATAACTTTTTTTATTTATTTGAGAGTTACAGACAGAGAGAGGGAAGAGAAAGAGAGAGGTCTTCCATCTGTTGGTGCACTCCCCAAATGGCTGCAACAGCTGGAGCTGGGCCGATTTTGAAGCCAAGAGCCAGGAGCTTCTTCTGAGTCTCTGATGTGGGTACAGGAGACCAAGCACTTGAGCCGTCTTCCGCTGCCTTTCCCAGGCCATCAGCAGGGAGCTGGATAGAAGTGGAGCAACTGGGACTTGAACCGGCATGCCAGCGCTAGGCCGAGTCTTAATCTACTATGCTACAGAGTCAGCCCATTATAAATTTTTTTAAAAACAAAGTATTTAGGGGCCGGTGCTGTGTCACAGCAGGTTAACGCCCTGGCCTGAAGCGCCAGCATCCCATATGGATGCCGGTTCAAGACCCGGCTGTTCCACTTCCAATCCAGTTCTCTGCTATGGCCTGGGAAAGCAGTAGAAGATGGCCCAAGTCCTTGGGATCCTGCACCCACATGGGAGACCCAGAAGAAGCT